ATTTATTGTTTTTCCCCAAAATGAATTGTTACCATTTAAACAAAACCATTTATAATTTTTAATTATGATTTAATCTATTTGTTTTGACACTAAATTTTGCTGTACGTAAATGCTTTTAGATTTATTAAAATATATGAACAAACGTTATCAGTGGCGTCCATACATCTCTAAAATAAGAGCCAACGCATTTTTCAAATGTAGAAAAAATAATGATATATATATGTATATGTTGAATATTTAATATATAAACGTCTGTGTGTATCTGTCTATCTATTTATATCTGTCCCTATCTACATCTCTGTATATATATATATATATATATATATATTATATATATATATATATATATATATAATATATATATATATATATATATATATATATATATATGGATATATATGCATATATGTGTATATGCATGTGTGTGTTTGAACGTGTGCGTGTGTGTGCGCGCGTGTGTGTATCTAACTATCGATCGATCGATATCGCTATCTCTCTCTCTCTCTATCTATCTATCTATCTATCTATCTATCTATCTATCTATCTATCTATCTATCTATCTATCTATCTATATATATAAGTTAAAGAAACTCATAAATGTCGAGAAGTGTGCTTTATTGATTCCCCGAGAGACACTCGCAATACAAAAAGCACTGGTCGGCAGCAGCGATAAGCCGGCACTCTTTCTGGGTGTGTGGGAACCGCCCCTCCGGATAAGCTATCGATCAGCTGGTCACCGGTTTTGCATTCGCTGTGCGTGGGTGGCCTTTATATCGGGAAATTAGTAATGATATTTGCAATATCTTCAGCAGCAGCATGATATTAATGATTATAATCTCCACCATCACCTTCATTATCAGTAGCAGCATGATAATAATGATCATCAGTTACAATGATTGTTATTGTTTATTAGTATTGCAATTGTTACCATTATTATTCTTATGGATAGACAGTATTGCAATTGTTATCATTATTATTCTTATGGATAGACAGTATTGCAATTGTTACCATTATTATTCTTATGGATAGACAGTATTGCAGTTGTTACCATTATTATTCTTATGGATAAACAATGAAATGGATTGACTGAAAGATATTATTTTATAGATCCATTTTATATTGTTACTGAACTGACTAAAAAACACTGTCAACAACTATCATTAAATGAAAACACCATCACTAAATAATAATAATAATAATAATAATAATAGTAATAATAATAATAAGATAAAATAAATGAATAAATAAGAATATAACTGAAGCGTAGTTGTGATTAAAACATCGCAATTAAAACACTGTAATAGTACACATATTATAAATGTACTGTACTTAAAGACACTGCAATAGAAAGCATTGTAACTGAAAATGTATTAAATTTGTAATTGTGTTTGGTAATATCACTGTAATTGAAATTGTTATTGGCAACAAAGACAGCTGTCACAGAAGGTAACAATAGCCTATAACGATAATAAAAGATAAGGCTGATAAAACAATCTTTTTTTATTAATCACTTGTGAAATTCATCTGACCACATGATAGTAAATTAATATGGAGCTTATTTTAGTATTTATATTTTGGAAATATATTCAATATAGGTGTATAAATATGTGTTATTCTGTTAGTTTTAGTGATTGTCAGTGTTAGTGTGTTAGTGTGTGTTGTGTGTGTGTGTGTGTGTGTGTGTGTGTGTGTGTGTGTGTGTGTGTGTGTGTGTGTGTGTGTGTGTGTGGTGTTGTGTGTCTTTGTCTTTATGTGCCAAAAGCTCACTAGTCTAGGGATAAATAAAAGAGTGGATTATCATAATTCTTTATTTGCACCAAGTTGCAGTTCTCTGAACAATCTAAAATATGTGCAAAATAGTACTTATCATTATTGCAATACTCAAAATAAATACTTTTAAATCGGCAAAATATCACACATCTATATACACTTTTCGAAGAATTGTTTGTCTTTAATGTACCTGCACAAACAGAAAATACACTTTCACATAAACACATCTATCCATCTGTTCCCCAATGCATACTCAGCATACAAACACACGCAGGATCACACATACATGCAGAAACACATTTCCATACCCATGCGCAAACGTAGTCTCTGCCTGATACTTTGTCTCTGTCTCTCTCACTCTCACTCACTCACTCACTCACTCACTCAATCACTCACGCTTACACATTCATTCACACACACACACACACACACACACACACACACACACACACACACACCACACACACACACACACACACACACACACACACACACACACACACACACACACACACCACACACACACACACACACACACACACGCACACACACACACACACACACACACGTACACACACACACATACACGCACACACACACACACGCACACGCACACGCACACGCACACACATGTATACATGCAAACTAAAGCAATGTTTTTTTTTAATGTCATGAAAATATGGTACAAATATGTTTATTTCATTCATTACACAGTTTTCATATTATGATA